GATCTCTGGATTGTATAGACACTTTTAGGAAACAACTTAAGACCCACTTTTTTAAACTTGCTTTTTAGCGTAATACTTGTTTTATTGTTTTGTATGTTGCTTTTAATTTATTTATTTTTACATTTTGTACAGCACTTTGGTCTGTGAAAAGTGCTATAGAAATAAAGTTTACTTACTTACTTACTTACTTACTTACTTACTTACTTAGTTTTAACAAATATGTAAATAACTTCTTTTTTTTTTTAACAAAAGTTACATACTGCAGTTTTAAAGCTATACATCTATCTTAGCCCTGACTATAAGACTACTTCTCTTTTATTACTGAAACATCTACCATGGTCCCATAGTATCCTTTCAGAAAGCAGTAGTGGAATCTTCGTTTCAAATACCTCAGCTATTAGAAAGATATTTGTCGACTTGGAGAAGGTGTTCAACTGTGTCCTTGGGGAAGCATGTGGGGGGGTGGTGAGTATGGGAGAACGGGCACTTTGATACCAGCTGTTATTGTCAAAAAACAGTTGAGTAGAATGATTGTTAAGTTATAATGAATGTTGTCCAAATGGCAATAGTGGAACAATACACACCTCAGACTAAACAAACTTCTAAAATATCCAATTTGACAGTTAGAAACCAAAAGTGGCGCAGTTGGTAGAGCAGAAAATGGATGGAAACCAAAAGGTCTGGAGATGACAGTGATCTGTTCAACAATGGTTTTTAGGTTTGAGATGCCATAATTAAATCTTTTTATCTGCTTAGTTTTGGTAGTTTCATCCTACTTAATGTGTGTCCACAGTAACACAATATGACAATATATGAACAGTAAGCACAACAAGGCCAGTGACCTGACCCTAAAGTGCTGTTAATGCAAACATGTCAGTTTAAAAAGGGGGATTAAAAAAAAAACAACATTTGGATAATGACAGAGCAGATAAGATTTAAAAACTCCATTTTAAAATGGGAACCTTATGTGGGATGGGTGTGAAGAAAATAGGGTATGAGGGGACGGAGTGACTTACCCATTGTATGTCAATCTGGAAGTCAATCAATAATGTGGAGGACAGATGTGCATAGGAGAACATGAAACAAAAGATGACACAGTGAGCAATTATGCAACATATAAAATAAATATTGTGCAAATCTGTTTAATTTGCTTGTGCACACACGAAAAGATTATACATACCATTTATAAGTATAAAGCTACTAAATCTATTTATATATCACTTTGTAGTGTAAATCATGTGAGATTTAGAACAAACACTGTGAGTGAACTGGATAAATATTCAGTAAAAACAATGCCTACATGTGCATTGAAATACTGAAGCAATCTATCAGTTGCGTGTAGATAAAGCTGGCTTATGTTTGTCAGAGGGCCAAAAACTGGAAATAAACTTGTACACTACCTGCACAAATAACCAGAAACTCTGAGTTTATACAATAAATAAATACACAGTTTCACAAAGACGAGGCGTTCTTCCCCTCACTGCTGTGTATAGAGATTAGCCTCTTGGCAAAATCAAGAGGTTAATCCCTATAAATACAGGTTGAAGCAACCACCTCTATAGACAGAAAGCTGCATGTTGATAATGAACAACACATTGATTCACTGATCCATCTTGCCACTTGGTCACTCCAGTGGAGAAACGTGCCTCCTTCAGGTGGGGAAGAAGAAGTTGTCCCAAGTGGAACAGTAAGGGCTATAGTTGGGTTTAAACACCTGGACTGGGCTGTGTCTGCTGTGATGCAGATGTAATACAGACCATCGTTGTAAAGAAATAGCTGAGACAAAAGCTGAAACTTTCAGTTTAACAGTATTTGTTGCACCTCTCAGGGGAATGAGTTGTGGATAGTGATGCAAAGAATGAGGTTGCAAACAAGTGGCTGCACTGAGCTTCCTCCTCAGCAGCCTCTTGGACTAAATCTTAGGTATATGATGAGAAGATGATTATTCTAGAGCAGCTCAAAGTAGAGCTACAGTTTCTCTGTGAATCTAAGTGGGCATCTGCTGAGCAAGTGTTCTAGATGACCCCTGAAGGAGGAGTTTCTAAGATCGTCCACTTGAAGGTCTTTGTGTAGGACTTGAAGACTGAATGCATCTAACTCCAAATATACAAGCCAGAGTAAAGCAGGAGGCCCAGAGCGATAACACACACAACTGTGCTGTCTACAGACACTGAGCAAACAGTTTCCCCCACTGAATTGCTATAATTATTTATGGCCTATGTCTGCAGTGGAAGCATTTATTGTTCAGTGTGATCTTTAGTTAAGTATCCAGGGTGTAAAGATTTTCTATTTATTGAGCTCAGTGAAAAGGTCTGCAGCTCCTGCTGTCAGGAAGAACAGGAACAACCAGCACCACAAAACACATTCCATTTTCAGACAGCTGCTATTAAACTTACATGCATAAAAATATTATATAAAAGAGCTGCTCTGATAATGACAAAAATATGTTAATTAAGTAAGTTTGATAAACTGAAGTACCAATTGTGCTAAGCTAACCCACTTGTAAGAACAAAATCTCCCTATAAAAACATCTCTACTCTATTTTATTTGAGGTCATTGTGAGTTCAGAAACATGTTCCTCTATTTTTATTGTTGTAGATTTTAACCTTTTTATCATTTTTTATTACATATTTCACCTTGACACAAATATTTCATCTCAACTGTGATTTACTTCAATAGCCGGAACACTGAGCAGGAGACGGCAATTGTAAGACTATGCAACATTTATCTGTGAGAGAATTCATTGGTGACTTGTTATTTAGAATCCTGATGCCTCCCCCACTGATGTCTTTATGAACAAAACATGTAAAACAAGCTGAAAGAAGACAGATAAAGGCATTTATTCTTTAAAAAGCTCCTTAGAACTATTCATTTTTCAGTCAGGGAACATCAGTCAAGGTTATTTAGATGTTGGACATTTTAAACTGAATAAACCTAATACAGACAAACTGAATCATGTATTGCAATGATTTTGTCATGTATTGAAGGATTTTGTGGAAATATTTGCTCTAGTTGTAGTGAAGTCTTGTTTTCAGCTGCAGTATTCAGATGGGGCAGAAATGGGCATAAACAACAGAACAGCACAGACAGATTCTTTGTTGTTTCACCTGTTCAGGCTGGAGTTGTTGGTCATTGTGTGGTGAATATTTTCTTGGCACACCTTGGGCGCCTTAGCACCAATGGAGTATTGTTTAAATGCTACAGCTGAGACCAGGCTCCAACAGTAACCAGATCTCAATCCAAAAGAGTATCTTTAGGATGTGCTGGGACAAGAGATTGCCATCTTAGATATGCAGCTGAAAATAGTGAGAAATGTTTCTGATACCTTGTTTAATTTAAAAAAGAAGTAAAAAGGAATTCAACCCACATCTAATAAGAAACCTAAAAGTATACTATCATGCCTATGTAAGTATCACAACCAATCAGTAAACACCTTGCTCTCAGTAATACTGACTGACTGTTGTAGATGCTTCAATAAACTCAACTGCATAAAATAATTTTAGTGCTGACCAAAATGCTTCTAACTAACCAATCAACTTTATTTGTATAGAACAATTCAACAAGGGAGTTCATAGTTCTCACCATTAAACAATAATACAGTAACCAATAATGAAACAGCAATAAATATTACATTTTATTAAATGCTACCATCAAAGTCATCATCAAATATACTGATCAATGTTCCAGTTATTATGAGTCAGAGGCAGTTCTAAACAGATGCGTTTTAGTTTTGATTTAAAGGAATTCAGTGTTTCAGCTATTCTGCAGTTTTCTGGAAGTTTGCTCCAGACTAGAGGAGCATGAAAACTAGTGCTATCAATCGACCAAAAACTTTGATCAGATTAATCTGATCAAGGTCTCACACTTTGATTTATCAGAATTAATCACTATACCCAACTTTGTAAGCCTGAAATATAAATACGAATGCTGTTGTTCAAGCCCCTCCTGTCGCACTCTATACAATTAAAATGCAAGTGATTATCTGATTTTTTGCAGCAGCAGCAGCAGCAGAAAGCAGTTCATGTAGTCTTCCCATACTCAATAGCAACTAAGGGAAACTTACTCTATTACTCATACAAATAGCAAACTTGTTGGGGAACAACTGAAAGGTTTTTTTTTTCTAGTTCTTTGGTGCCCCTTTCCGATGTCGCCCTGGGCCATATAGTCCATAACATAAACCACCACTTTCAATAAAAAATTAAAATATATTGTCTCAAACCAAACATGTCTAAAAATTCTCAGCTGTTCAGTGACTTATAAACCAACAAATGCTTCCATTGGCTCCATGTATTCCATTTAGAAATGGGTGATGTGCTCCATCTTCCTGGTCACATTCAGTCTCAGTCATCTCATGAAGGAATCAATTCAGCCCTATGGACCACAAACACCACACACATACACCAGAAATAGCACAAACAACTTCTCTGTGAAGTCAGAATTTATTAATATGCAATAAACCATATACTGAAACTACCAAACTGCAACTAAACTACTAAGCCATAAAAACTAATAATAAGCAAATTATCAAATCAAGTAACCAATGAATTATGATATTAAAAATAAATGGAATACTAAAAAATAACTTCAAAACTAATTATCTGATTAATAATCGTAAAATGTCAGTAAACAACAATATCAGAATTCAGCTTCAGCATAGAAATGCATGTGATAAAAACAGGATATGTGATGATGGAAGTGAATTCTCCTTGTTGGCAGGAGCTAGCAAGGAAGATACCAGTGAAAAGCAGAGGGAGATGTGGGTGTTTAGATGTGATCACAATCAGTCTGACATCTTGAAATTGGCCGTTGTTTCTTTAAGAACCTGCTGCCCTTTCCTACACTCCACCTTCAGTACATCATCACAACAATGTTTCTCCATGCTGTCCATCAATGGCGTTTGGAACAGTTTTTAGTGCGTTGTAGTTTGTATGATAAGCTCAGCAGATGTACAGTTCCACCAGGTGTTTGCTAATTGCTGCTGCTGCTAGTCTAGAGGAGCTATGTGGGAGGGGTGCATTGTGGGGCAGACGTTTGGCTGGAGACTGAAGCTCCAAGTAGCTTTGAGTAAGTAGGCAGAGCATTGCAGGAGCAGGTGACATAAAGCTCAAAAAGTTGATTTGACATTAAACTTCCCTTTAATAATTTTTATTAACAATAAATTATTTATCATAATTGTTAGGTTACATATGCCAAACATTGTATTATGGTTACCGTGTCTGGTTAAATTTACCTCCTGGTTGCAGTCCAGCACACAGAGTTTGGAGCTCTGCTTCTTGGCATCCAGCAGCACGTTGAACATGGTGCAGACAGAAAGAGGAACCCGGAATTCTGTAGACCGACTTGTTTTCGCCATTTTGGCTTCAAATGCAGATTTTGTCCTGCAAGATAAAAAAAAATAAAAAAGATATTAATTTATATTAACAGTTCCTGCAAAAAAATTGGTGTGACATTTAGAGGCCGACTGGTTATTGCTGATACAGATTTTTGAAATTCAATCACGATCAATTGCTGATTTAGCCCATACAGACCATTTTATTTTGCATGTAGTTTATTTAGATGTTTCCTTTGATTAGAATGTTTTTCAATTGCTGTTACTTGAAACCTGTGAAATTTTAGGTAGAAGTAAGCTAAATGAAGCAGCACTGATTTTTATTTTTGTAATTCTAGTAATCTGCTGGTCAAGATATTTTTGTGACTAAGTATTATAGAGCAGTGTTTTTCAACTCCAGTCCTCAAGGCACACTGTCCTGTATGTTTTAGGCATCCCCCTGGTTCAGCCCAAATGATTTCAATTGATGGCTGATCAACAGGGTTTTGTTGAATTGCAATCATTTGAATAGGGTGTGTTGAAGCAGGGGAACATCTAAAACATGCAGGTTTTGAGGACCAGGGTTGGGAAAAACACTGACATCAAGTTGCGTCTGCAGCCACTCGACTGCACATGTCACCGTCAGAATATAGCCAAGAATATATTATTCTAACTATTTACAATAAGGCTAATAAAAAAAACGTACAACTTGCAGCCAGCGTAGATCACCCGGCGCAACTCCCGCACGCAGCATTTGCGACGTGTAGATATCAGAGGTTTTATTTTTAGCACATCGTCTCTGCACCTCACCTACCCTGTTCAACCCGCTGAATTTTTTATTTTTGTAGGCTTAGTTAATCACCTGTAGCGGAGCTATATTTTCATTTTTCTTCTAGTTGTGACCAAGCTGGGAAGGAATATCCTATTTGTCGTTTTCATACTAAATATGAATTCCGTTTTTTTTAAATGCAAATTTATATTTTAGGAAAATCCTATCCCGGTGCACTTACCATCTACATGTTTGTCTTATTTACCTGCTGAACAAAATTGCTATATTATTGCTAGCAAGTAATATCCGACGTTTGAGGCATTTTCACTGGTCATTTATCGAATCACCTACATTCAATGCTTATGAGTCATTAAGACGCATCTCATTCATGCGAATTAGAATAAGTTATTACAATGTGATAAATAGTTGAAGTCCGCTGACTGACAACATGCTACCTAATGTTAAAATAGCTACATTAATACGGGTAACCATGGTAACCAATGAGCCTTTAAAGGTCCCGTGGCTCTTGCTACAGACATGCACATCCACTGTGTTTACAAACAAATAATCCCTCTATATAAACAAACTGAAGTGAACATAAAGTGATATTCCATCAGCTTCCTCCACAAAGGAGAAATATGTTCTGATTTGGCTTTTTTTTTGTTTTACACAACTGTGGCTGTGAAAAGGTTCTCCACTCGCTCCGTCGTTGGGGAACATATAGGTAATAACACACACATGCGCACAGTGTCTAAACAGAAGGTGTTTCTGTCTGGGTCCATGTCAGCTTGCCAGTATGTAACTTTTATTTAAAAGAATGTTTTAAAAAAAAAAAAAAAGTTTTAGCACTGTCAATCACTTTAGTGTACATGCTACTCTCACCCTCTATACACACAACAGTGGCAATACAATGCTGTCCAAATACATGCCAGTCTAAAAATTGAGCAAGAACAAGCAAAAATTGGCAGGCTGATGATGTTGGTCGACCTCTAGTAATATTTACTCATGCCATTAGAATGGTGACCTTTTGACACAGGCCTCCATCATGTCACTGGCCATCAGTTTGAGTCTTTGCTTCAGATGTTTGGCAAACTCTGGTTCTGGCCAGTGCAGGTCCATCACAAACATCTGCAGAGCGTCCAGTTTCCAGAATAAATCCTCAGAGGTGGCCGATCCATTACTGCAAAGTGGAGAAAGTGTCAGCAGCAGAAAGCAGTTCAAAGACCTGTGGAGTTCATCAATCTTTGATTTGATGAACAACTAATTATTTAACAATAAAAGAAAAACATGAAAAGCATGAAAATGGTAGCAGTCTTTCCTGCCATAATCCAATATAAACATTTGTCTAATACTTTTTAGCTTTCCCTGCCATTGCCATTTGGAGGTGGAATCCAAAATATATTTACATTGGCCACTTGATTGTGTCAAACAACTTTAGCAAAGTAGCATCCTATAATTACTAACATGCAGAAAATGTGATCATAGCTAACAATAAGACAGATCTCCTGGTTCACCAGAAAAGCGCTCGTTTGCCATTTGTGTTGTCAAGTCAGTTATGTTTCCCATTTTGAATGTTGGAAACCTTCTAATTTTTGACTCCTGTGTTTTAAAATAAAAGATTAAAAATTGCAGAAGAAATTATGCTTTCCATAATTTGGTCATTTGCTGAGCAATTACTGTATGCAATAACATAACTCTACCAACAAACAAGTATCAGTGGTTATGGTGAGATCCTTAAAAAAAGCTCTGTGTCAGTGTAGGGTGTCTGTCCATCTTTTCTCTATGGGTCCTCTGTGTGGGGCCTCCTGAGACTCGTCCCATTCACCTCTTTCACAAAATGGTTCCATCATTAATCACAAATCAAAGCAACCATGTCAGGTGAATGTGAGCCTAAGAAAACCAAACTGACATCACAAAATCAGGGGAGGTCTGGAGGTGCTGGACCCCAGCAGGATCAGTACAGAGAGTTTGGTATCTCCCATTGTAAAGGATGAAACACCTCTCATCACTCCTAGTGACATAAGTGGTTTTTCCACTGTTCAGGCCAAGAGTCAGTCTTGGCCAAGCTACAAACAGAAGGTGACTTGATCTGTGCCGCCCCGGCAGCCTGCTAGAGGGGCTCCATGAGGTCTGCTGCTGGACAGAGTGATGGCCAGTATGTTGACGAGGTAACACTATCCATCCTGGAGTTACTGAACTTCATGATGCCACAGTGGAGAGCAGCCAACCCTCTACCAAGAACTGAAGGCTGGATATGGGTCTTGATACCACAAATTTGTCACATCATCACTTTCTGTCATCCAATTCTAGTTGTTGTTAATAGTCTAATTTCTTAGTATTACATAGAGAAATGCTCCTCACACTCTTATGTTCATTTAAAGGAGAACCAAAAAACTAAAGTACATGGGAAGGAACAGCATGTGCTGATCCCTAGAATTTGTTGCATGATTGTCAGATGTTGTGGTAACTGAAGTATTTCTGTTTCTGGCAATATGCAGAATTTGTATATGCGACTCTATGATACATCCTCATTGTTCCTGAATACGCTTAGTTTAGTTGACTATTGTTTGACAAACTTGAAATGAAAGCATAACTTCATAAATACATTATTCCTGTTCTCAGTTGCTGTAAATGTCCATGAAATTAGTTCAATATTTGATCTTTTTTTCTTGAACATGACCCTTCGACCCCTGCCAATTATGTACTGGGGTTCAAAGCTGCGTGTTTTCACTTGGTAAACAGCACCATGAGGACAGAGACAGATGGACATCTTGCTGCTTTCTCTCCCCTGCAAACAGGTTAGACAGCAACAAGACAACCCTCAGCACCATCAACATCCAAGTGTACAGCGCCCACAACTAGAACCACCGCCACAGGGGAGGGAGGAGTAACATGTCCTTCTAACTCCCTCATTTTTCTCACTTTGCCTTTAAAAGACTGTTACCTTATAAATGCTGCACAGAAATAAATACTTTGGGTTGAGTCTGTGTTGCAATTAAAAGCTTGGTGGCTATCCCCCTTATGTCTAATTACTGGTGCTCTTCAGTGAACGTGCTCCGCCCGGCTCCCCAGGGAATGGGACGATCCCACTCACCCGTCTGTGCTTGTTAATGAAGTGCCAGCTTTTTCTCCCCTCTGTTTCTTTTTTTTTTTTTTTTCCTAAAGTAGTGGCCGGCCAAGTGAAGTGAGGTGGAGGAGCACTGTGTACTGTGCTGTGGGAATGGTTGGCAGAGTCAGACTCAAGTCTTTTTAAGAAAAACACCCTCAAATGGTCTCCTGAGAACCTCCAAACTCTCCATCGCCCTCCAAAATGGCCATCCACGCTAGATCTGCTGCAAAGCTACAAACCAGACAAATGAGAGTTCTTTGGAAAAGCAGGAAGAACAGGTGTACCGTATGTCACCAACTCAGTGCTTCACTTTCCTTTCAATGTTTCTATGTTTAGTCATTCTACCTAGCTAATACGACTGATGAAGCATAGTGATGAGAATGTTTGATGACTGAACTAGTTGAACAGCTAAAACTTTTCAAAAGAAACTTTTGTGTTATTAATGTGTTTATTTGAAGTTAGTGACTTTTGTCTTTTACTTATCTAACAAGCTGCTCCTTTATTCAGCTGCAAATAATGGGTAAAAGGCCAACATAATTAAACATTCAGAACACATTAGTCCTTGATCAGTCAAACCATCGTTCACCACTGATGGAACATTGTTCACATTGTTCTGATGGAACAATGAAAACAAAACAGATAAAAAATTAGGCAATTTATCAAAAACACAGGACAGCCATTTGAGAACTTCAAATGATGGCACATCACTGTTAAAATCCATTTGCTATAGATTTCTTTAGCTATTTAATTATTAGCCCTTTATGGTCTTTTAGTCAGCTGAAGTTTTATAGCCTTGGAACTCTCACTGAGGTCAATTTTTCCCAGTTTTCCTTTCTAATTGTTGAATCACTGCAGTGAGGCCTGCAGAGCTTAGATGCTGTTGTGGGATCTTCTGAGACCTCCTGGATGAGTCCTGATGACCTGGTCAGCTGGCCCCTCCTGCGGTCCTCCATTGCTCCATGTGTACCTTGCTCCTCACGGTACACATGAGGAGCAAGGTATCCACACACGTCTCCATGTGTGGGTAACGGCTCTGGGTCCACTGGGTCTCCTCCCAGTGAGACGTGGTGGAACAACCCATAATCCCAAACAGAGGATCTGGACAGGTTCTGTTTGGGGATTTTCAGATTCTACAGGTCTTGCAGTAATCAGGTTTGGGTGTCGTTAGCATAATTTACCCCAAAAAGTTAATAATGATAGTTTAGACATCAGGGGGAGATTATATTTTCACAAAGGGACCAGATCACTTGAGTAGTTTTGTTTTACATAATAAATGAAATTATCATTTTGAAAACAGCTTTTTTTCATATTTTCTTTGTCTGATAAAATATGTTTCAAAATATAAAATATATAAATATGGCAAAAAAAAAACCCCAAAGAAATCTGAAAGGATGGGATACTTTTTCACAGCACTTTGTGTTGAATAGCTGATAAGTGTTTCTCCAAAGGACATTTTTACAGTAAATGTTTTCAAAGCAGATATAAGACAAGCTACTGGTCTTTTCAGTCAGTGTGCTTCAATAGGGCTGGGTTAGTGTTAGCAAGTTTGTTCTGTCGCACCTCTAGCACAATGCTTCTTGTCTTGCCAAAGATAAATGTGTAAAAACTCATTTTTTGTAGGTTTAAATATGAAGAGATCAGGCAAATATTTGTATGAATATGGACTTTTCTCTTATGCCTAAAAAGTGTGTGTCATGTTTGTAATGTTGAGTTGAATATTTAATGAAAGATTAATATCAGAGTTACAAAAATGAGGGAATCCAGAATGAAATAAGAAACAATCCAAAACACAGCCAGAGAGGACACAGGAGGCAGCTGAGGAGAAGTACAAGAAAATGACAGAAGTCTACGAGGAGGGACTGAGACTGAGCAGCTTAAATACTGGGGAGGTGAACGATGAACAAAAGACCTGGGATGATCAGCTAACTGATAGCAGGTGTGAGGAGAGGGAGCAGAAGGCAGACTGAGGGAGAGAGAGAGGAAGTGACACAGGAGAATAGCAAATAAATCCAACACTATAGATTGGCTAAACTAAAGAAACAAAAAAAACTAGGGTAACAAAGAATAACTATAAGGAATAAACTTGAACCACTAAGAAGAACTGAACTAAAGGAAAATACGAACAAGACAGATCTAACCAAAATAAAAAAGTAAGACAAAATAATAATGAAACTAGACTAACTAAGAAAGAACTAGAACAAAGTAAAACGAAATTTCTAAGAGGAACTAAGAACCACAGAAGCAAATAAAAACCCCAAAAAACAAACTCAAACGACCCCAGATCCTGACAGTGTGTGTTGCCTCTTTACAGTGTCCAGTGGACCGAATGGTGTCAGTGTTCTCCAGAGTCAAGGGGATGAATCGTACTTTTAGCGTCACCGTCTCCTTTTCTTCTTTTCATTGCCATTATTCTGGAGCTGAAAGTTCAATGCACTAGACAGCTTGTGAGCAATCCAAGGTGGTCAAATAATTAAAAGAGGAATTATTCAGAAAGTAGGTCAGAGTGTGTCTTTTTACGCCAGTCAGAGCCTTTGTCAACTCAAGATAAATAACCTTCATCAGCACAAAAAGAGCCTCCTCATAATTTAGCATGAGATTGGGTAAGGTTGTCTTGTGTAATGTCATAGGTAAGGTCATTGCTATGATATTTAAGCAGGACTAAATAAACTCGACAGCAGAGGTACATCTGACAGGAGTAGCCTGCATAATACTTTACAATTCTGACACACAATTTTACTACAAGTTCCTGAAGTTGGTGGAAGCCTGGCCCTGCTGGTCCAAGTCAAACACAGTCGATGGAGTGGTATTTTCTAATGGTAGCATGTCATCCTAGACCACCGGAAATATGGGAGATATGCAAGGAAGTGAAATGGAGATTACTAACACTGCAAAAATAAAAAATAAAAAATAGAATAGAGAAATGTCAGAAAACAAGCAAAGATTTCATATTAAAACTCAGGTTGAAGATTCTTTATTAGCAGTGAATCATTAAAATCCTGAGCGCATAAGTTGAAGAGTTTTAAAATTCTTTGCTGTACAACAATGTTTAGCAGTTTCTTTTTATCCAAAGCAAAAAGCTATGTATACAAAATAAAGTTTATATCTAAGCCACTAAAGTTTATGAATGCCTTTCCTTCACCTACTCCATCTCTTCTTTTCTGTTCAACTGTTGATGATGCATTGATGTTAATGTGTTTACTATTGAACTATTATTTTAAAGTTTCCATGCTGATGATTTGCCTCCATTTTTGCTTCAGCTGGATGTTTAAGTTTCACAGTTTCTTATTTTAGACACACCTGACTTATGAGAAAAAAACCCTCAATATTTTGCTGTGTTTATAGTCTTCAATGAAACTTTAGATAATTTGATCATGTCCCAACATTTTAACTGGTACTCATCGTTGGGGGCTGTGACTGGAGTTAGACAGATGCAGGAACTTCATTTTATCATGACTGCAGATTTAGAGATATTTGCTTTCATACAGTGGTTTATCCAACCATAAAGATTCAGGTGCATTTATTTTCAGGATGTCTCATGGTAAGAAAAGCAGAATCTTTACATGTTATACTCTTCTGAATCCTGCAACTACATTTGGGAAAAAGTGAAATACTTTAGGCTGAAAATGCACAGTATAATATTTTCAGTCGTATTCAGTATTCCAGTGAGTAACTTGTTAGTGTGAAAGGTTCAGGTAACTTTGGCTCGTAAAGCTGCTTCAACAGTGCTTCAATTTGGTTTGATTTTCTTGCAACCATAAGATTGTTGATCAGGAGCTGCTTGTGAGATGTTAATCAGAAACACCATGGTGTAGTATATCTTTGCATATTGCACCATGGTCGACATAATAAGACCCATCCCAATCGCAAAAACTGTTGTACACTGTAAAACAGTCTGAAAATGGGCCAGAAACCACACAATATATTCAGATGTGCTCAACCTCTCATTTTGTCACTGCATTTTACAGGAATTTGGATTTTTAATCATTTACATATAATTTTCATATCACCTCCAGGCAGAATTAAAAATCAATAAAGTAAATAGAAACATTTCTAGATTGAAAACCTGCTGACAAAACATTTTCATCTTAGTCCACCACAGATAAGGTCTGGCTTTAGATTTTAAATGTTGGGCCTTGTAGTAAAATCATCTGTCAATTTTGCTCTTAAAATGCAGTTCAAAATACTTTTACTCCTGTTATGGAATGCTGCTGGATGACCGCCTTGTGGGGCTTGCACAACAAATTCATCAACAGCACGACTGCACTCAAAAATGTATTCATTTGTATTGTGTGCTCTGCAAAACCACAGCTTTCTATTGGCTGAGCGCTGTGGCCAATAAATACTGGTCAGTCTGCTCTGACCGGCTTCAAAAGCTCCACTCTGCTCTCTCACAGAGTCTCATCTTCATTTCCTTCCACTGTTTATTCTATTCTTCATTGTCTCACTTTACAAAGTTTAATTGTACTGCAATGCGACAAAATACAGATTTTTGTAAAAAAAAAAATGTCGCTGGTTCTGTCTATAGATGAGCAGAGATCAGCAGCATCACAGTTGTGTTCAGTTCAGGGTTCTCTTTAGCAGCAGTTATTCATGTGCAACCTGCCCACCTCTGGGAAACACAGGAGATGGAGCAGCACTAGTCTGGGTTTACATTCAGCAATTAAATGTGTTACATTACAAAGGCCTTAAACTCTCTGGAATCAATTGAGCTAAATTAACATTTTTAAGTCTCAACCCTAAATAAACATTAAGAGGAAAGTCAATGAGAAAAATTATCTTATTGACTTTTGAATGGATTAGTTTGACATCTTTAGAGAGATAGGAATCTCAGCCCATCATCCTGAGACTGAAGTTTAGATTTAAGAAAATATTTGAAAACTTTTTTTACTATCAAAGAGAAAAAAAATTAACTTACAAAATATCTGGAAGATTTACTCCTTGCAAGCTGCAACAAAAAACAAGTTGCTGTGTTATTAGGTTGAGAATCTAATTGTGGCATGGACACTTCACAGCACAAGCACTACTGACTGAGATCACATTCCACCGACTGTCATGTGCAGCTGGATCTGAAAATTCTGCTCAGCTGTCAAGTAGATGAGCGAATGCTCAAATCACCAAATATTATCACAAACATCAAAACTAGCAAATAGTAGCATGCAGACTCAAGAGGGTCAGATACCTTTCATACTCTTTTTAGTGACAATAACATTCAGACAGACACAAAAAGTCAACATGACTGAAAACACTGAGGGCAGTCTGAGTCAGTCCAGACTACAGGTCTTCATCTGGACTTGATACTTTAAGACCACGGGTCCTGAGGAGCCATGAAGTCCTGTCTACACGGTTCTGACCAGCACTAATATGGCAATGTGATAAAAGCCCAATTCTCCCAGTCAAAAAGAAAGAGGATTGCCAACTAGTCCTGTCCTTTAAAACAGAACCCACTAAACCCAGATCTCATCTGGGTCCCTGCACAGTTCATAGGCAAATATTCCAGAGTTATCCAAACTAAGCTGTTAATTCTAAGACTTTTACATTAACACGATGACACAGAGAACACAGGAAGGACAGAGAGGAAGGCAGGTGGAAAGGCCTGGTAAATACTGAGATCAAATGCCAGAGTTTTCCAGACTGGGTGGAAACCTGGGAGACAATGGTGTGATGCAGCCACAGAAACTGTTAATGTCCAGAAATATGGGAAAAGCCAACTCATTAACAGATTTTGCAGAGTTTTTCAGGGACTTGAAAACTACAGACAAAGACACCATTAACAGGGAACATGTGAAGTTTGCATACACTTATCATGGCCTTGAATGTTCCAATAACATAAGACAAGTTTAAATTTGTTTCCTCTGATCCTAGCAGTGTCAAAAGTATACAAACAGGTCAAATATAATATTATTTGATTTAAATGTCCTTTAGTCAGTTGTTCCTCGACTGCAGGCCTTTTACAGCCATCAACAAGCTTCTAGCATCATTCTGCATCATCTTCTTGGCAGAATTAGTAGGATTCAGTTCAGTTGTTCAGTTCAGTGGTGCAGAACCAGCATTTAAGCATAATCCGTAAATGTTCTATAGCATTGTGAAAACATTCTTGGAAAGGCAACACTTCCGCTATTTTTCTGATGACTTTCAAATATAATGTAAAAATAGTTGTAATTATCTTCACTGGAACATTGTCTTCAGGATAACAGAAAGAAAGTGTGAGAACCTCCTGCCACAACTGAAGACAGAAACACTCAGGAGTTCTGCCTCACTGCAGGAGCTGTTTCTATGTTATAGAAAAGTGAAACGTTAATAGTGGTAATAGTTCCTTTAGTGGATTCATCCGGGAGAGAAACTCAGCTGGACAGATAAGCTCTGAGCCAGTTTTCAAGGCAATAGGAGGAAGAAAAAACATATAGTTAGTTGCAGTAAAATAAGTGTCTAGAAGTGAAAGACTTTCTTATACATGTTTCATTCGGTTACTGTTTGATGTTCCCTGTGTCAGTAAAGTCCTATTTTCCATTGGATTTCAAATGAATTCATGTTTTTATTACATTTTGCTTGGATCAGTGACCACTCTGTATGCTGATCTTGATAAATCATTTATTTAGCTGTTGCACGCCTTCTGACAGGAGCTAAAGACCAAGACCACACGTGCTCAGGCTTCCTGTTCATTTCAGAATCTAGTTTAAGATTTTATTCCCCGTTTTTAAGAGTCTCAATAGTATGACGGCAGGACACATCATATTTCACCACCAGAGCTTGAAGGTCCACAGATGAACTGTTGTTCGACACTCAAACACTGCGGCTCACAGGTACTAAGTGGTGACAAATAACCTGTGGCTAAAACTGCCTTAATACATCTGAGATGCAAAGTGTTAATCATATTAAATCTTTTTAAAAACACATTTCTCTGATCAGAATTTTAGTTCTTGTCAAACTAAATATTTAATCTTTTATTGTGCTAATTCTCATACATGCATTAACTATCACTACCTATTTAACTTTGTTCTTTTTTAATGCTTTAGTTTACCCTTTATGTAATGGTTAAACTTTTTATGTTGCTCCATAGTTAGCTATTGCTGTTTTTAATGTACTATTGAAATAAAATAATAGCAATAATTAAAAGTGGTGGTAAAAAAGTGCTTAACAGAGTTTCAGATTAGTTTTGGTTTCTGATGACAGGATCAAAGCCAGTGCAGCTGCTTTGGGAGTTTGTTTATAATAAAATCCAGTTTTTTTTCTCAAAAACTGGATTTTTTTCTCAAAATATCTCTACTGTTATTTATAACAGCAGAGATATAAATACATGTGGTAAAACTGAAACTACAATTAAATTATAAATAATACATGTTAACATGTTTCTGATTGGCTGCTGTTCTCTATGATCCTGATAAAAGTCCCCGATAAAAGCCATGGCTTCCTGGTTCTGGAATGGTTCTGGTTCCTGTTGCTAGAGCAGGATTCTGTTTCAGTGGAGACACAAAGTACTGGTGTTTAGTTAGTTCTGGCCTCAGCTTGGTGGAAAAGACCCTTCATCAGCTCATTCTTATTTAGGACAGATGATGAGGAAATGAAAGCTAGGTTGTTTTAGTTCCATCTGCACAAAAGGCTTTGACTAATCTGAACATAACAGGAGAATGAACTAAAATAAACAGGTTCCAGATTATGAATACATTAATGTTCCTGAAGAGTGAACACTAACTCCAACAATAATAGTTTCTCAGATGCTCTGAAGACCTATAGCGTAGACTGTCAGAGGCATGAATTGCTCCACTGTACGTACGTGTTCTCATAGATCGGTCCAAACCAAGCAGGTACCGAGAAGCTGGGCATCTGAGGCAAAGTGAGGGGAAGGCTGGAGATTCTAGGAAGAGGAACACTGGCTAGATTGTTGGTTAACAATCTGCCAAACAGATGAGACCCATGACAAAGGAGGATTTTAGCAGAACAAAAGGAGAAAGCAAAACAGATGAAAGAGGAATGAGAGCAGACATCAGAGTCACTGGCCTGTTCCATTTTATTCTATTTGTTTCTTGTCCCATGCCTTTGCAGAAGGTTTGTGCTGCTTCGGTTGGTTGAGTGTAGAATATTGTCGGCCCAGTTCCCTTTTAATTTTTGTTTTGGTCACTTCGAAGCCACAACCATCAAAAGCAGCAATTTAGCCCAAAGCCATTTGTTCTGCCCGATGTTTCAGATCTTTGAAACATACACTTTTCATTACACCCTTCAACTAACAGAGCTAAAAGGAACATAGAAAATATCTACCTATAGATGACCTAGCTCTAGATTGTAGTTGTACGAAGAGTTAGGTCGATGCATAATGTTCTCCAGTGTTTCTAAAAGTAAGTTTTATTAATTGGTCCTATTCTGGTCATATTCACTATTCTGTTATAACAAGGACAGAGTAAATATGTTCCTTACTGCACAGCCAGAGCAGCACCATGAATGTCACTACTGCTATAAAGCTAAGACAGCTCACAAGTAGCCGTACCTGACTGAATGCCAGGTCTCCTGCTCAAAGCCACGGTGGATGGACTGAGCAATGGAGGTCTCCATCAGGTCAATGTATCGCACCACCAGAGGGATGAACAGGTCCTGCAGGTGTTTGTGGAACGGCCCACTGCAAAGATGAGCTGTGGAGGTGGGACCAACAAAAGACAAAGACAGCAGATCTCTTAGTTGTGTATGGTTTTTCATTTCAATATTTCTCTAGAAAATGATGTTTCTAAATAGGATCTATAAATATAAATACTAACTCAGAGAACTGACTTCAACCAGGAACTCAACTTTCACAAAAGCTCTTTGATTTTTTTCCCCTCTCTTTAGCCTGGTCACATAAAAAACCCCAAAAAAACTGGTTAACATTCTGACCCTTTTTTTGTGTAATTAGGAAGTAAAAGGAAAATGTTGCTTTCAAAACTGTTCATGGAACCCTGAAAAGTATGGGATGCATTAGTATTTAGCAACTTACTAGTGCAACCAATTGTTTCAGAATCAACCTAAAGACTAAAAGGCATGTGCCTGAATGCAACATAGACTCAGGCCCAGTTCACATGACAATGATCCAACGAAAATAGAATTTTTGTTCCATTTTTGTTCACACATTTACATGAAGACGTTCTAATTACAATCTTTGTTTACACAGTAACGGTACGCATCGAAAAGGTGTAATACCCTCGCCACGCCACTAGTTAGTGCTAGGTTCTTAGAGAATAAGTGCGCATGTGTCAAAAAATAATAAAAAAAGTTCTACTTGAAAGAACGTCTCATGTTTCCCCACCAGATACTGTTCATCCAGATATTGGGGGCAAACACACACTGTGTGTGTCTGATTGAGAAGGACCTCGCTGCAGCAAACAGAAAGGGGCGGGAACGGACCTGGGATGTCTCCCAGGAAGTGACGAATGTCGAAGAGCGCTCAGGTCACGGATGTTTGTTTTGATTTCTTTGTTTTGGAGCCTACCATCCAGGACCTGGTCGTACACCGGTAAGCCTAGTTGGATTTATTTTGTGAATTTTCTTTTCGTTTGGATACAGGTATTTTTATTCTTTGTCATTGTGATAATAAATTATTGTCTTGAAACCTGTCTCTTGCTTATTGCAAAGCCGGATCTGTGTCCTTTACCGTTAATTCCTGGGTGATAACCCCAGGTGGCGTTGTTGGCAACAAACAAAATTAATTGTATGGTCAAACCACTGAATGCCACACTTTCACAATGACAAAAATCCTCAGCTGGATGAACTGTCGGTTCTTCAGGATGTGGGAAGATTCCTTAGGGCTGATGGGCTGAGGCAGAAGGCCTAAAAAAAACTCTGGAAGTTCAGCAAAGCAAAAAGCATAAGCTACTGGGGAATCGTACACAATTCTAAATAGGAGAGGGCTCTCCTTTAACAGCTCTTGTTAAATGTGATAAAAAATTGGATCCCTGAAGGCATGTTCTGCCTCCCATCTGGGCCCCCTCTAGGCCTGGGTTAGGGCTCTGCTACACCCCCCACCCAATCTGTGGCTCCTTCCCTGATGTGATGTCACAAATATGTTACAATTGTGGGAGGAACTGTCTGATGTTTTCTAAATCAACACCAGACTTAGTTACTGTTCAGTGTTAATTTATAAATCAACACTGAACAGAATTGCTTTTATTTAACTCTTTGGAATAACAAACTCATGTTGTTGAATTAGACTAAAGTGTTGAATTAACACTGTATTTCAACATACAACACTTACACTGGAAATCCAACACTTTTGAATTTGCTGTGCATGTTTTGAGTCATACTATGCATGAGCTAGGGACAGAAAAGATTCATTTATTCTGTCTACAAGACAACTGAGACTGGTACGTTTTAGAACCATTGCACTCTGGAACCCGTTTTCAAACTGTGCCGTTGTCGGAGAAAAAAATTTGGTGGTTTCACGTAAATGTACACTACAAACACAACAAAACTCTTCCATTTTCACCAGAAATGATTGCAAACAGGGCCTCAGTCTCAATGAAGTTGTTCTAGTTCTGGTCTCGGAGGTTCTTTAGAGAACAAGCATCAGGGAATCCAGGGAACCAAGCAGAGGTCAGGGAGAACCTGGTGGTTCTGTTTAAAGCAGGGTTAGGTTCTACATCTGTACCTGCAGGTTCTGCTGGTTTTTATGTGAGACGTCAGACACAGCCAGTGAAGACACTAAAAAGTTTCACACACACAAAAACATATCTTTCATTTTATTTTTAGAGCATTCTAGCCTTCCTGAGTGCAGCTGAGAGTTTTTAAACCTCCTGTGGTCTTAGCATAATGCTCAGGAGGATCGCTGCAGATGCCAGGGTCAGGCAGCAGGGAAGTTGGGGGTCTGTCCTGTCAGACCGTCAGTTCCCGAAACCACACAAAAACCTCTCATAAAAGCGCACAGTGTTTTCTCTGACAGCTGCTTGGCTATCTGCTTGGGGGGCTTCACTGTGTATGTGTGTGGACAGGGTGGGGAGAGTATGATCCATGGAGGAAGGGGGGGGGGGGGGAGTTTATGGTTTGCAAGTCAATTCAAATGGATTTTTTAACATTTGATGTTAAAAACCTTGAAGCAGTAGCATGTTCAGTATTTAACCCCTGACCCTGTGCTACCTGAGACTGCTGGATGTGAGTGACTGGCCTCCTGTCAGATTCTTATGAATCTCACTTCAGCAACACATCAAGTTGGCTACAGCCAACAAGGAGTCACAACTAGAGAACATCAACGATACTCATAGGATGGTTCTTTGAAACAGACAAAATACTTTTGAGCATGAAATAATCTTCAGTGGATGTGGTACTGCAGTGTAGTAGGAGGTTAATCATACTCATCATGTCGACGTTGTCTTATCTGCAGTCTTTAGGTAACACATGAATGTTGAAGTTCAGAATCACTGGTAAAACTGTGTGCTCCAAACAGAATCCTTTGCTAAACGGAGAGTAAGCTGACGTGTTGCGTGACAGAGAGCAAGAACAGAACTAAGGCTAATTTCAACATGAAAACATCTACAAGTAAAAGATTAAATTCTGTAAATAGGCTTGATTTTTGGACTGTTTGTGACAATGCAGCCATTTATGACATCATGCACAGTTCCCTCCCCCCACCTAATATCTCCTCTGTGGGTTTAAAACAGACAAATAACTCTTGACAGACTGTGCCAGCCCACAGAGACCAGGGGAAAGAGTATTGGGTGAGAAGCAAGCAAGCGAGTCTCCCAGGACTTCATTAGTTTTAATTCCTTTTGCTCTGCTCCATCATAATTAACACTAGCCTTTTTGCCCTCCAGAGACTAAAACTTGCCTCCACCATAACTGTTCGCTTTCACATGTTGACAATCAAGTGAGCATTTAAATAATCAGCAGAACAACTGAGGGATAGCACACTTTGAATTATAGTTACAGTAAGTCACCAAAGATCAGTTGACTGGAGGTCACTGCTGATATTTACAAAAAAAATCTATATTAAGAGTAACAAAAAATATGGATTTATTCATATCTGTTATTTGAACTGAATTCAAATGCATGTTTTTCTCTTATTATGTTCATAATTATAAGATAGAGGACATCATTTATACAAAAGCAGTCAAATGTATGCTTCAGCTTCCCCCATGTTTAATCTCCTTCGATTGCCTCATTACGTTCCAAATCAAAAAGGCTCGTGTTGTGACACTTGGAATAATTACAGCCTGAACAGAAGATGGTAATTAGACAGAATTTAAGATATGGGCTACCAAAAGAGATTTGTTGCTTCTTTACAGAATGTTACTAGATTTGTTTTTTGTTTTTTTGTTCCCAACATTGCCCCTGGGCTGTCTGTCTATCTGGCTGCCTGTCTGTTACTGTAGCTGAGGTACTTGGGCAGCAGCCATGTTAAATAACGCCTTGCATCTCGCCAGATCTCTGCTGGCTCATAGACAAAGCGCTTGATACAAATTCAATGAGCCCGGATCTTTTTTCCATCAGTCAAAAGTGAACACTGAATTTGAGTTCATTGGGATAAAATTATCTTAGTGCAATGTTGATGTTTCTTAAACTGCAGTGTTTGGGGTTTTTGTTCTCTTCCACTATGTCCGGACCTTGACTTGAGAGGAAAGACAAAGTTGTTACAAAAACAAGTGGGCCAAGCAATTTCACTATCCCTGAAATCATGTAGCGTTGCTTTGTTGGATGTTTTCCAGATGGTTCTCTGCTCACAAGTACCTCCTTTTGATCCACAGTAGTTCTTTATTTGCAGCTGCTGTTTTGTATCGGTACCTAAGAGTCAGGAAAGAGTTTTTCCTTGACATCCATTCTTTAATATTCTTTTTTAGAAGGTTTTTTTGAAACATGCTTTAGATACAGTTGTGTTAAATTTTCCTTCACAAACTACTAAGTTTTTTCTGTTCAAACATGTAGATTTAAAAAGGAAAAAAAAGACCATATGAAGCTACAGATAAAGCAGCTAATAAAGCTGTGGTCAGACATTTATGTTTAGTATGAATGTCCAAGTAATTTTACAAATAAAATATAGTGTAGATTTAAAAAAAAGTTTTTTACAAAGCAACCAGTTTGAATTGTCCCACTCAGTAACTGTCCACAAATCTGGACGACAACTGCAACTTATTAAAGTTTCTTTTTCAAAGTATTGTTTGCAGATGATGCACTAATGTAGCTTGACAGCCATCTACAAACAGTCATACTTCCGTTGTCACAACACACGGCTGTCTTTGTTTCCAAACACTGAAGGGGTCTGCGTATGCATCAAATAATTATGCATTCACCTTCACTGGGACAGTCTGACATTGCAGCCTTGAAAAGCTGTGAACCATGGAAAGGAAAAAACATGGACACTACAAAAAGGGCAATGAAAAACAACATGAACAATCATTAATACCTAAAATAGAGCTTAGTCATTATTTCTGCAGTAGGTTAGTGTATTTAGAGAGTAACAAACATTTTAGGGTAGCATATTGGTGTTTTATCTGTTAACATCAACTTATTTTCTGCAGGGGATCATGAAATGATATTTGGAGGCACTATTCTTAATTATACTTATTCACCATATTTTGATTTTTGAACAAAAAGTAATAATAATAATGTCTGATAAATGATAGCCAGTAATGATCAATAAACTGTCCAGTGCTTTCCTTTTAGGTATAAAGTC